TCCCTCTTCATAATTATTTTATCTTTGAGTCCTTATTTTCCTGACTTTATGTTCTTTTGAAATTGTTTTTAAATTTTTTATAGTTCAGAACACTTTAAGGAAATTGTCTGTTTCTTGAATTGTGTTTTCTTTCAGACAGAGTTCTTCTTATCTGCTGAATGCTCTTTTTCCCTTTCCTCTGTTTTTCCTTTCTTTTCTTTTTTCTTTCTTTCTTTTTTTTTTTTTTTTTGGTATTATTTATTTTTGCTTCACATTATCACCTAGCGGTTTGCTTTTTCCCATGATGTTTATGCTTAATGCAGACAGTTCTGTCCATGCTTTCAATCTGTCCATACTCTATCTGTGCTTGGAAATAAAGACAGGTGACATCTCCTTAGCACCTTCCTAAGTCATCTCAGAATGTCATTTTCCCCTCTGAGCTAAATTTGATAGCTAATTATTTGTTCCACTGTTTTACAGCTTAAGGGCTCCTGGTGATGGAAAGGAGAGAGTCTTGCTTCTGAGGTTTTGTTCAACTTCCTGTCCTAGGGTTCATTTCATATAGTCAGAGATGGATCCCACTGCTATGGAGGGATATTTTGGCCACTGCAATCGTCCCCAAATTTATTATTGAGCTTGGGAGGCTTCACTGTTAAAGAAAAGATCTAGTTCTTCATTTCCTTCATTGCACCTATCTTTCCCCATCAGCCATTTCAACTGTCTCCTAATCAGAAAACAGAAAACTCAGTTATTTATGGTTTTTTTTTCTTCAAACTTTGGGGTTATTAATGAAAATTCTGAGGATTTCATTGACTTAGCAACAAGGCTTCTGGGTAATGAGAGTGTACTCGCCTTACCTTGCCACTCCAAAATCTCCTGTTTGTTTTTTTGACTGCTACTTTATTTATGTTTTCATCTTTTCCCTTTATTCAAAAATTACAAAGTCTTTTTTTGGTCATTTCAATGAGTAGAGAGTATTTTAAGGCTAATCCACCCTATCTGTAATATAGGCCTAAATCACTTTATTATATCATGATTCCTTTTGTTTGTTAGTTTGTTATTTTTATTTTATTATTCTTTTCTTTCCAACCTTTGTTTTCACTTCAGGAAATTCACATGCAGGTTTGTTACATGAATAAACTGCATGTCGCAGGGGTTTGGCGTACAGGTTATTTCGCCATCCAGGTAATGAGCATAGTAGGCAACAGGTAGTTTTTGGATCCTCACCTTCCACCCACCCTGCACACTAAAGTAAGCCCCTGTATTAGTCCATTCTCATGCTGCTAATAAAGGCATACCTGAGACTAGGTCATTTATAAAAGAAAGAGGTTTAATGGACTGTCAGTTCCACATGGCTGGGGAAGTCTCATAATCATGGCAGAAGGCAAAGGAAGATCAAAAGGACTTCTTACATGGTGGTGGACAAGACAACTTGTGCAGCGAAACTCCCATTTATAAAAACACCAAGGCTAGGTGTGGTGGCGCACGCCTGTAATCACAACACTTTGGGAGGCCGAGGTGGGTGGGTCACTTGAGGTCACGGGTTCGAGACCAGCCTGGCCAACATGGCAAAACCCCGTCTCTACTAAAAATACAAAAAATTAGCTGGGAGTGGTGGCGCGCAGCTGTAATCCCCACTACTCGGGGATTGATACAGGAGAATTACTTGAACACAGAAGGTGGAGACTGCAGTGAGCCGAGATTGCACCACTGCACTCCAGCCTGGGCAACAGAGTGAGACTCTGTCTCAAAAACAAACAAACAAAAATAATATAAACAACAACAAAAAAACCCATCAGATCTCGAGATTTATTCATTACCACGTGAACAGTATGGGGAAAACTGCCCCATGATTCAATTTTCTCCACCTGGCCCTGCCCTTGACATGTGGGGATTATTACAATTCAAGGTGAAATTTGGGTGGGGACACAGTTAAGCCATATCAGTCCCAGGGTCTCTTGTTGCCTGTTTACTTTTTGGTTTTTTGACACAGAGTTTTGCTCTTGTCACCCAGGCTGGAGTGCAGCGGCACGATCTTGGCTCACTGCAACCTCTGCCTCCTGGTTTCAAGAGATTCTCCTGCCTCAGCCTCCTGAGTAGCTGGGATTATAGGCATGCACCACCATGCCTGGCTAATTTTTGTATTTTTAGTAGGGATGGGGTTTCACCATGTTGGCCAGGCTGGTCTCGAGCTCCTGACCTCAAGTGATCCGCCTGCATCGGCCTCCCAAAGTGCTGAGATTACAGTCATGAGCCGCAACGGCCAGCCTGTTGTTCCCTTCTTGATGTTCATGTGTTCACAATGTTTAGCTCCCTTTTAGAAGAGAGAACATGTGGTACTGGTTTTCTGTTCCAGCATTAATTTGCTTAGGATGCCACTTAAAAACATTTATGGAGTTAGGGTTTCTTTTTCCTTGTCTGGCTACTTCTTTTTGCTTTTTTTTTTTTTTTAATTATTTTCCTTAATATGAAGAAAAGGAGATTCTGTGCTTCGGTTTCACTCCACCAGCTTTACCAATTTATAATCTTTACAGTTCCCATTTCCTACCTGGTCCTTGGCAAATGAAAGCTAGTCTAACTCCAAGCACATGGGTTGAAGTATCTTCTGAAATACTTAAACGTGATGATTCAGGTGCTTTAAAAAAATTACATAACTAGCTTTCCCTAGAAGAGGAAGCCCTAAGGACTCAAAGTGTCTTCTGGCATCAATGTAGGTTCCTTTCTTTTTTAGCATAAAATATTAATCCTAATGTACTAACCTGCAAGTTGAATAAAATATATCCCCCATAAGGTTGTCAGAAAATGCAGAGTGCCCACTAAAATTTGAATTATAGATACAGTATAATGAATTATTTTTTTGTTTTTTTGTGTGTGACGGAGTCTTTCTCTGTCGCCCAAGCTGGAGTGCAGTGGCGCGATCTCGGCTCACTGCAAGCTCTGGTTCCCGGGTTCACACCATTCTCCTGCCTCAGCCTCCCAAGTAGCTGAGACTACAGGCGTCCGCCACCACACCCGGCTAATTTTTTGTATGTTTTAGTAGAGACAGGGTTTCAGCATGTTAGCCAGGATGGTCTCGATCTCCTGACCTCGTGATCCATTCGCCTTGGCCTCCCAAAGTGCTGGGATTACAAGCGTGAGCCACCGCACCAGACCTATGAATTGTTTTTTTAAAGTATAAGTAGGTCCCATGCAATATTTGGGTCATGCTTTTACTACACAATGGTTTGCTATTTATCTGAAATTCAAATTTGACTGGGTTTCCTGTCTGGTTTTTCCTTCCCAAACCTGGCAGCCCTACTCTATCACCACCATCTTATGAGAATGTTTTCTGGGTCTATTGGATACCTCTCCTTCAGTATTTTCCTGATATCACTGATATCCTCATCTCTGTTACTAGTGGATTCATTGCTATGTCCTTTCCTTAGCCAATCCTATAGTATGACTTAACTCTTAAGTTTTAGATAATAAATATTGGCAGATGGTAGAACATTGTACAGTAAGTAACATTTATTACTAATTATTTAGCATTCAGCCAAAGAGCAGTAATAAAGGATATAAGATAGTCTTTGAGTGACCAAAATAGATGTCATAAATTCCATGCCCAAAATGCTCATTTTCTTTCTTCATAGATGCTCACATCAGGCTTTTGCTCAAAATATTTTAACTCCTAAATACTGACTACGTAGCAGACCACGGCAGAACAGAAATAGCAGATCAGGGGAACTGCTTGAGTTTAGGAACAAGGACAACAGGTGCATATCACAGCAGGACAAGGGAAGGAGACAGGAGAATGAGAAACAGACCCTAGGAAGTTGTGGAACCACTGGGTGCAGAGTACATAGCTCTGGCCATTTATGTGATCTCTGAAGGCACCACTGTGGCAACATTCCGTGTCATGGAGCCATAAGCTGGCATTCAGCTGGAGGGTGTATTGGGACAATATTGGTATTAGTAACAGATACCTGAATCAATTCACTAAAGCACAGGGAATGTATCGATTCATGTAATTTAAACCCAGGTTAGGTGACTTCATGAACTGTTGAATTCAGGTGCTCATACAGGGTTGTTTGTAATCTCTCTCTCTCTTTTATCTCTATCTCCTTATCTATCTGGTCCACTTTGCTCTGTGTTGTTTTTCTTTCTAGGCAGGTTCTTCCTTTATGATGGCAAGATTGGCTAGTAGTAGTTCAAGATGCATATATATATATGTATATGTATGTATATATATGTGTATGTATATATTTTAAGAAGGAGTTTCACTCTTGTTGCCTAGGCTGAAGTGCAATGGTGCGATCTCAGCTCACTGCAACCTCCACTTCCCAGGTTCAAGCGATTCTCCTGCCTCAGCCTCTTGAGTAGCTGGGATTACAGACACCCGCTACCATGCCTGGCTAATTTTTGTATTTTTAGTAGAGACAGGTTTTCACCATGTTGGCCAGGGTGGTCTCAAACTCCTGACCTCAAGTGATCCTCCTGCTTCGATATCCCAAAGTGCTGGGATTACAGATGTGAGCCACCACACCCTGATGTATGTTTTTAGTGCCTAGAATTACCTAACAGGCAGGTAGTAGACATCCATTAATATTTGTTATATGAATGAATGACTACAAGTAGGATGGGCCCTGAACAATTTGTGATAAAGAGGATGCACTTTGTTTCAGCATATTGCTAGGGTTTTTGTTTGCTGGTTGAAACAGTAACCCCACTGGAGAGAGAAAAAGCAGGGAGTGAGACAGAGTAGGGGATGGAGAGCTTTTCTCACTCTCAGGAGTGGCAGGAGAGTTCTGGGTTGGCTGTGATTGTTTTACCCTCATATTTACCTCCGTCATCTAGATCAGAGGCTGGAGTCACTTTCTGGAGCCTTTGAGCTCTGACAGTATGGAAATCACCAAGTGAGCTAAAGATACTCAATAACACTCTCGTGCCTTTGGAACTTCTGTTATGTTATTACTCTCTGGGATTGGTTTAATAATTTGTGCTGTCATCAAAATTTCCAAAGTAATTGCTAATTTTTCTTTCAGGCTCAGGCTGCATGAAGAAAAGGTTATTAAAGATAGACGTCATCATCTCAAGACCTACCCAAACTGTTTCGTCGCAAAAGAACTGATTGACTGGCTGATTGAACACAAAGAGGCTTCCGACAGAGAGACGGCAATTAAACTCATGCAGAAATTAGCAGACCGGGGCATTATTCACCATGGTAAGTGAGGTGGTGAGTCAAGGTGACTTGAGAGAAAATGAAGGACTAAATCTTTTCATGAACATACCCACTTAAGAAAGAAAACATTTTGCTTTATTTTATCTCTACTGTATCTCTCCCTGATTTCATTTTCTTCCTCTAAGAGGCATTTTGGTTATTTCTTTTTTTCTCGTATTTTCAGTAGAGACTGGGTTTTACCCTGTTGGTCAGGCTGGTCTCGAACTCCTGACTTCAGGTGATCTGCCCACCTCAGCCTCCCAAAGTGCTGAAATTACAGGTGTGAGTCACTGTGCCCAACTAGCATTTCGGTTATTTCTATGTACTGCTTTATACCTCTTTCTCTATTCATCTTTAAGGAATGCATCATGTTGTCTTAAAAGTTTTCTCTCATTATAGAAGTGCATATTTATCCTTTTGCAACTTGATCAACACACTGTGAGCTTCATCCACGTTGATAGTATATGTCTTATTTGTTATTTTTGCTGTTGTATAATACATATGTATAATTATGCCACTATATATTTTTCAGTGGGCATTTATGTGGTTTCCAAGTTTTTGCTGTTACTCTCAGTGGGTTCAATAAAGATTCACCAACATGTCTTCTTGAAATCTCTCATCCTGGCCTCGACCTTCGCACATGTCGTCGTTCTCTTGGAATGCCCTTTCCCCTCACGTTTTGCCCAATTTCTCTTTGTTCTTCAGGTCTCCACTTACGTGCAAACTCTTCAGGGAAGCTTTCTTTTTCCAAAGCTGGGTCACTGTGTTCCTGGGGCACTGGGCACTCTTCCTTTAGGCTCCCATTGCACTCTGTCCTTACCTCTGTAGCCTTATCATACCATATTTCAATTATAGTTGACATTTTTCCTTACCTCACTAGATTTCACATTCTTTGAGGCTGATGCATGCCCCAATATTCTTTAGAAGAGTTTGTGGATTGCTTCATGAATTGAATTATGTGAACTTCCTAAAGATGATGATGATGATGATGATGATGATTATGGTGATGGTGATGGTGATAATAATAGCTAAAAATACTGAGGACTTACTCTGTACCAAGTGCTATGTAACTATTTTACATGTATCAGCTCATATGGTAGATACTTGCATGCATGAAGAATTTGGTGGTGAAATAATTCTTAATTAGCATCATACTTCACTTGAGTAATTAAATAAGAGTGATTTTTTTTCTTATTTGCTTCTCTGTGCATATTGTGTTTCAGTGTGTGATGAGCATAAAGAATTCAAGGATGTCAAACTCTTCTACCGCTTTAGAAAGGATGACGGCACCTTCCCATTGGATAACGAAGTGAAGGCCTTTATGAGGGGACAGAGGCTGTATGAAAAGTATGTTCCACATGAAATCCCCACTGTAATCTTGACTGGTAGAGAGAAGCAGAACTGTGCCAGTCTCATTATGTTGATTTCAGCATGGCTCTTCCATGTGGGCCGGTTACATAACTGTTCTTTTTCATATGAGAAAACTATCACCCATTTGCTTTCTCTTTGCCAGAAAATAAGTCAATTTCATAAGATTCTTATTAAAGAATTTATTTAAATCTTATTTTCTATATTTAAGTCAATTCTACAAAGCTCCAGAATTTTTGTTTACCATCAAATGATGTGGATGCCCCTTTTCCTTTCTTATTTTTATTTATTTTTTGGCACTGAGTCTCACTCTGTTGCCCAGGCAGAAGTGCGGTGGCATGATCTCGGCTCACTGCAACCTCTGCCTTCTGGATTCGAGTGATTCTCGTGCCTCAGCTCCTGAGTAGCTGGGAATACAGACGTGAGCCACCACATCTGGCTAATTTATGTATTTGTAGTAGAGACAGGGTTTCCCCATGTTGGCCAGGCTTTTCTCAAATTCCTGACCTCAGGTGATCTACCCACTTCAGCCTCTCAAAGTGCTAGCATTGCAGGTGTGAGCCACCGTGCCTGGCCCCCTTTTTTCTTTTAAATACTGTTGTTGTATAAATTGGAGGTTCAGGCTTATAAGTGACTGGAGAAGCAGCATCAAGAGCAGGGGAATTGGTCAGACCAGGAGACCAGTAGTGGGAGAACTTCAGATAGCAGGATGTCTATGAGGAATAAGCTTTCAGCTCTTTCAAGAGATAAGTACAGTGTAGCACAGGAGTATTTGGTTGATGGGTCTCGAATCTTCTGAGTGGCCATCTCTGGGTTTATCTGCTACTTCTGTGGCCTCTTTACCATCCTGCCTTCCTCATTTAGTTTTCCAGGGCAACCATTAGAAAAAGGGGTGCAGAAGCAATGGTACCTCCTTTGTAACCCTGGCTGCCTTACAAGACTTGAGGGAATTGAAAAACACATATTTATCTGCCAGGCGCCGTGGTTTATGCCTGTAATCCTAGCACTTTGGGAGGCCGAGGTGGGTGGATCACTTGAGGTCAGGGGTTTAAGACCAGCCTGGCCAACATGGTGAAAGCCTGTCTCCACTAAAAATACAAAAACTAGCCCGCCATGGTGGTGAGTACCTGTAATCCCAGCTACTCGGTAGGCTGAGGTAGGAGAATCGCTTGAACCTAGGAGGCAGAGGCTGCAGTGAGCCGGGATCACATCACTGCATTCCAACCTGGGTGACAGAGTGAGACACCATCTCAAAACTAAAACAAAAACAAAACATATTTGTCACATAAAATAGCCTGTTCTGTAATGGGTGGGGGTAAGGGTCTGGGTGGGTGTCTGAGTGATCAGATTAATTGGCATGACGGTTAAAAGCCAGACAGAGTTTGAAGTGTAGCCCTGTCACCTTACCTTTATAAAGCTCAGTGTCCTCTTTAGTGACATGACAGCAGCAATCGAACTCACCTCCTAGTGCTGTTGTGGGAATTAAAAGGCTTAAGTATTTAGCTCAGGATCTCTGGTGTATAGTAAGACCTCACAGAGGATAGCCATTCCAGATATGAGTACAGTACTGATGGCCACCCTCGACCGTGTCCTTCCTGTGTTATGCACTCTGTCCCAGTTCTTGTCTCCGTTTCTTGAGGTGGTATGGTCACCACTTGATGTCCTAATTTGTACTCAGTCTACTATCACTTGCTTTCTATATTGAAATGGAGAAACTCTCTCATCTTTCTGACTCACATGAATTTGAATGGAAGGGATCCATCAGTACCTCCACTTGTTTACTTGAGTGTGTGCATTTGTTTTGTTGCTTTCTTTTAATTTCTTAGTTCCTTTTGTAGAATTCTAGCAGGTGTTGGGTATTTCAGTTACGATGATGTTCCTTTCAAACAATGATTCTATGTTGGCCAAAACATGCATGTCATCTCCATGGATGAAGGCCAGTGGATTCTGTAACACTTTTCCTTTTTTTAAATTAAAAAAGATTAACAATATTATTATTATTATTATTATTTATAAAGACAGGATCTTGCTCTGTCTCCCAGGCTGGAGTGCAGTGGCATTATCATAGCTCACTGTAACCTTCAATTTCTGGGCTTAAGTGATCCTCCTGCCTCAGCCTCCCAAGTAGCTACGAGTACCGACTTATGCTACCACGTCCAGCTTTTTTTTTTTTTTTTAACTTTTTGTAGAGACAGGATCTCATTATGTTGTTCAGGCTCATATCAAACTCCTGTCCTCAAGTGATTCTCTTACCTTGGCCTCTCAAAGCATTGGGACTAAGCCATGAGCCACTGTACCTATAACACTTTTCTCTAGCTACAGCTTATCTCTTGGGATCTGCATAACCACACTGTGGGGCAGGGATCAGCTATAATTGAAAATGTCTGGCAGAGAACTGTTATTGCTTAATGGGATAGTTATGATGGCAAGATAATAATAAGAAAAGTTAAAGTTGCTCACACCTTCTGGAAAGCAGACTTACTCCAGCCTCATATTCCGTTGCATCTCCTTCCACCCTGTGGACCAGTCACACAGCACTGTGTATCTCTGAGCATGTTCTTTCCTTTCAGGAGATGCATTAATGCATTAATTATTCAACAAATCTATATTGAGCCCTTTCCACTTGCTAGGCACAGCTAAAGATGCTAGAAATGCCTGTAGCAAAGCCCCTGCCTTCATGAGCTTGCACTTCAGTTAAAGAGGCAGACATTAAAGGCACAGACACATGAAGATGTGATATAGTATAACACGGGTGTCATCGGTGCTAGAAAGAAAAATAGATTTACTGAGGATGGTGGGGTACTTTAAATAGGGGGATTGGGGAAAATGTTTTTGAAGAGATGACATATGAATAAAGGAAGACTTGCAGATATCTGGTGGAAGAACATCCCAGGCAAAGGGAATGGTAAGGATAAAGGCTTTGAGAAGGGAACGTGCTGGACATATTTAAGGGCAGTAATGAGACCAGAGTGTCCAGAGGGCAGAAGAAAAGAGGAGAGTAGTAGGAGATGAGGCAAGGCCAGTTCATAATAGGGCCCTTAAAACCATGGTAAGAATTGATGATTTTAAGTGTAATGGGAGGCCGTTGGAGAGGAGGGAGTGAGGAAGTGGCAATCTGATATACTTTTTGCATGTGCTGTTCTCTCTGCCTAGAGGACTCATGCCACTCTCACCCCTTTCCCTAAATCACTGACTCCTGTGGCTTCACGTTAATTGTGAAGGTAGCTTGAGTAATGTGTGGTGGCTCATGCCTGTAATCCCAGCTCCTTGGGAGGCCGAGGTGGGCAGATCACCAGAGGTCAGGAGTTTGAGACCAGCCTGGCCGACGTGGGAAACCCCATCAATATGAAAAATATAAACATTAGCTGGGTGTGGTGGTGGGCACCTGTAATCCCAGCTACTCGGGAGGCTGAGGCAGGAGAATTGCTTGAACCTGGGAGGCGGAGGTTGCAGTGAGCCGAGATCACACCACTGAACTCCAGCCTGGGTGACAGAACAAGACTCCATATCAAAAACAAAACGAAACAAAAAAACCCACAAAAAACAAAACAATGTTTATTGTTTGTAAGTTAAGCTTCTTAAAGCACTTCCTTTAGATTATTTTATCTAAGCTTCTTTTTAAAATAGATGGAGCATTACTTTACTGGCCCATTTTCAGAGAGAGCATCTGGGATCCAATGCATTTAAGTAATTTATATGTGATGTTGACACAGTTTGCGAGGGACAGGGGTGAGACAAGAACCTGGGGTGGCAGGTGTTGGGGCCGCTGCTGTCTCAGCAGCTCTGAGGGGGCGGGCGTATTGTCAGTATTTCTTTTTGGCTCTTTTCTTGCTTGTTTGTTCTGTGTTATAAATAGGACTTTGTGAAACTTTGTGGTTTCTGACTGAGGTTTTGCTGAACCATGTTGATTTTGGGGAACCCTGGCTTTCTGGGTTTTTGTTTGTTTGTTTGTTTTTATTTATAAGAGTCTCACTCTGTCGCCCAGGCTGAAGTACAGTGGCATGATCTCGGCTTACTGCAACCTCTGCCTCCTGAGTTCAAGCGATTCTCGTGCCTCTGCCTCCCAAGTAGCTGGGACTAGAGGTATATGCCACCACACCTAGCTATTTTTTTGTATTTTTAGTAGAGATGGGGTTTCAACCTGTTGGCTAGGCTGATCTCAAACTCATGGTCTCAAGTGATCTGTCTGCCTCGGCCTCCCAAAGTGCTGGGATTACAGGCGTGGGCCAGTGTGCCCAGCCTGGGTACCCTGGCTTTCTAACCCATAGCAGTGTTTCTCAGACTGCTCATTGGTGGGATAAACCCAAGTCTCAAAACTACAATTTCAGTAACTCTGCTGGCTCTTAGTATGTGTGTCATTCTAGTTACTTTACTTGAGACATGCTGGAACAAATACTAATGAAGAAGCCAGAAGCTGGCCCTTTGAAGTTGTCCCAGTGTGAGTGAGGAAAGCTTTAGAGGAACTGGAGGCATGGATCATACTGCATAGTGAGTGACAATGGCTGTAGGCTCTGGAGTCACACAGCCTGGGTCTTCCATCGCAGCTTCACAACTTGCTTGCTTTGTGACCTTCAGCAGGCTGCCTAAATCTCTCTGATCTGCAGTCTACCATGGAGATAAGGCTGGGACCCACTGCTGGAAAAAGCTGTAGCGGGGACTGATTGAGATCCATCTGTACAGTGCTGAGCACACTGCTTGACGTGGACTGAGAGCCTAGGGAATGTTAGCTGTTGTTATTAGAGTAGTAAATAATAATATCAATACGTGACACCTATTCTTCTTGTTTTCTCATATTATTTTAGGATGCAGCCTTGCATAGCAGATAAGAGCCCAGGAGCCCAGCTACCTGGGTGTGAATCTTGGCTCCATGCCTTGGGGCAAATGGCTTTATTTCTATGTCTCCATTTGCCTATCTAGTAAATGGAGATACTGACTGTGCTGACCTCATAGACGTGTTGTGGGGGTAAAATGGACTAATG